GCTAAATGACGCAATAGTCAAGGCATTACCAAAAATCCAGTAATACCCACACCACAAGCCAGAACGGAACAAATTAACTCGGAAGTACTAAAATCACACAATTAAGCGAGCAGCAAAAAATTTTTCACCAATGGATAATGAGTGGAAAAATAAACAGTTGCCCGCAAAAGAAGGAAACCCCCAAAGGCAAGAAATTTTTTTTCTATGTTTACGATTAGTTAAAATTTCTTCGTTGAGAAACAATATAATAAAACTAAATTAAAAAATGAATAGCATTAAGAAGCAGTGTTAATGAAACAAATATCTTGACAGTTTATTATACTTCTTAATATTTATACTAATTATTACTTTTGTTTTTCTCCATCAAATAAATTGCTATGGTAATACTATTTCTCTGTTAACTTCTGCTTGTGGTTTCTCGGAGTTGATTAGAAGGGGGAATTGTATGTCAAGGCTTTAAAAAATGAAACAAAAAGAATAAATTTTTGGGTGTGGTTATTCTCTCGCTATAACTAGTTTTTGCGGAGTAAATTCGTATATTTCTTCTCCGTAATTTCAGGTTTCTTTTTCGTGGCTGATAACTATAATTGTCTTATTTTTTAATTCGGAGAAAACTACTTTTTGGATATGCTTTTTAAGGTTGGGGTTAACGTTACTTAAAAATTCGTCAAAAAGATAAATTTCGTAATCTCTAACTAAGGCTCGCATTAAACTAACTAATTGTTTTTGCCCGGCTGAAAGATTCTGTCCTTTTTCGGCAATAATAGTTTCTCAACGGTAAGGTAAGTAGTCAATAAATTCCCTAATCCCTAATTTTTGAGCCGTTGCTTCTAATTTTTCTCGATGGAGGTTTTCCTGATAAGTCTCGGGGTAAACTATATTATTGCCCAAACTAGTATTAAAAAAATAAGGATGGTTAGCCAAATAGACGATTTTCTCCCGTCAAGTCGAGTTATCAATTTTTTCTAATCCCGTATCATCTAATTTAATAATGCCTTGCTGGGGTGTGTAAAGCTTAACGATTAACCTAAATAAAGTGCTTTTTCCTATTCCGTTCGGTCCAGTAATTAAGTATTTTTTTCCCTTTTGAAAGTTGAAAGAAAAATTGTCTAGTATTTTTTTCTTCGTTTGGGGATAAGTGAAATGAACTTGCTGAAAAATAATATTATTTCTGTTGGCTGGCAAGTAGTTGGGAGCAGGAACAGAAATCTGGTATTTTTCCAAATTAGCCAGAGTCTCATTTAATCTTTTCCGGCTGGAACTATAACTCTCGTAGCCTCCGTAAGCCCAAAACATTTCAAAAATAGTTTTGCAAGCATCAAACATTTTATCTAGTTTGGCGTATAGAATGGCTTTGCTGGCTTGCCCGCTGATTACTAAAAAAGTAAAAGGAATGAAACGAACTAAGATATAACTGGGGATGGTGGCATAAATACTTTTAGTGAGCACAAACGCATAATTTCTCCGTAAATTATTAGTGAATTGCTGCTGGCTTTGTTGGATTTCTCGGTCTTCGGCTCCAGTAGTTTTAATATATTCCAAATTATCTTTTAATTCTTTAAACCGCTTATTTTCCCGGTCAAATTCTCTGTCCCTTTTTAATTTATACCGGTAAGAAAAATAATACAAGGTCGGAACTAAAATGATTAAAAACAGCAAGGCAGCCAAACACCAAGGAATTAATCGTTTTTCTTCGGATTTTTTACTAAGCCCTCAGAGTAGTAAAACAATTTGACAAACCGAGTAAAAACTGCGGTTGAAAATTCGCACCGCTAGGGTTCCCACAATGGCCGCATCACTATCAAAACGTGACAGAATAAACTTTTCTTTTTGAGCTTGATTAAAGTTGGCCGAGAGAAATTTCTTAGTTATTTTTTTCCGTAAGTGAGAAGTATAAAGTTCTTCAAGGTAAATACCAATGGCAATATGCAAGTAAATAGTTATTCCGAAGGTAAGCAAACGAAGTAGAAAACTACCAGCATTATTTTTTAAGATTTCTGCTCCTCCTTTTTTTAAGGCATCTGCTAAATAACCAAATATTAGTTGCGTGGAACCAAAAGCGCTGAATAAAGCAAGGCCATAATGAATTAAGGAAAGTAAAGGGAATTTTTTCAAAAGATAAAATAAACTGACTTGGTTTTTTTTAGCCGGATTGGACCGGTTTTCTTGTTTATTTTTCAGATTTAAAAAAAAAAACTTGGTAAGATTGGCGGGCTTTTTTAGCTTCGGGTGAGTTTCAATTAACAAACTTAATTTCTAATAT